GAAAAAACAGAGTTAACATTTCGGGTCCGGTGACCCTTCCTCAGAACTGTTAACGTTAACTCTGTTTTTTCCTTCACAGATGCTGCCAGACCTGCTGAGCTTTTCCAGCAACTTTTGTTTTAGTTACAAACTTTTAATTTGATTTTTTTTCCTTACTTGCAGCTTTTGAGTATAGCAGTAACTAGTTTAAACAATGAATGTTTTAAACCATTTGTATTCATATATTTCTCCATTTGCACTTTCTGTGGCAAGGACTAAGGAAACTAAGGAGCTTTCAGTTTTCTGGGAATTATTAAAACACGCTTGAGTTCTTTAATAGTTCTTTAAATAGACTAGAAAAGAGGGTTTTGTATTTGTAGGAAAATTTGCCAGCAAATATAGCAAATTGGGGTTAGTTGAAAATCAGCCAAAAGAATTGTAGCACCGATGTGTTGCAGGCACACGCTTGGGTTGAACTGATATCAGAGAATCATCATAGAATCCCTACAGTGTGGAAGCAGGCCATTCATCCCATTTAAGTCGCATCGACCCTCAGAGGATCCTACCCACACCCACGCCACTACCCTATCCCTGTCACCCTGCATTTCCCTAGCTAACCCACCTAGCCTTCACATCGTGGATACTACGGGCAATTTAGCATGGGCAATCCACCTAGCCTGCACATCCTTTTGACTATGGGAGGAAACTGGAGTACCCACACAGACACGTGGAGAATGTGCATCCACATAGACAGTCGCCCAAGGGTGGAATTAAACCCGAGTCCCTGGCGCTGTGAGGCAGCAGCGCTAACCACTAAGCTACTCTGTCGCCTGACGAAATATGTCTCCTGTAAGGGAAGAGGGTGAAAATGAATTAATGGGTCACTGAACTACCATGGAAAATTAACCACAATTTTTAATTTTTATGTAGAATTTATTTTTCTTGCGCACACTTTTACTTGAAGTTGCCACAGATTATTTTGCCATTTACAATTTGTCCTTTGTAAAGAGTTGTAAGAATGATAGTACTCATTATTTGTCTTGTTCTTGCAGAGGATGCTGACTACAGTGCTTTTGGTACTGACACTTTAACACGGAAAAAGAATGTCTTGTCAAATGTACTGCGTCCTGACAACCGAAAGAAACCTCCAATTGCTATCAGCTTGCCACGTGATTTCCGCCCTGTGTCTTCAATCATTGATGTGGATGTTCTTCCAGAAACCCATCGAAGAGTGCGGCTGTATAAACATGGATCTGATAAGCCACTAGGATTCTATATTCGTGATGGCTCGAGTGTCCGAGTAACTCCTCATGGACTGGAAAAAGTCCCTGGAATTTTCATATCTAGATTGGTGCAGGGGGGATTAGCTGAAAGCACTGGTCTGTTAGCTGTAAATGATGAAGTTCTTGAGGTAAATGGTATTGAGGTATCGGGTAAAAGCCTTGATCAAGTGACTGATATGATGATTGCAAATAGCCACAACCTAATCATAACTGTGAAACCAGCAAATCAAAGAAATAATGTGAGGATCACTCGGACTTCTGGTAGTTCAGGCCAGTCTGCTGACACTGGTACTAGTCATCCCGCTTTTGTGGCATCCCCACATGTTGTGCAGAATTTCCATTCAGAAGAAGTGGACAGTGATGAAGAAACAGACATCGTTATAGAGGGCAATGGTGAGCCACAGCACATTCCAGTGGCAGCATCAACCACTGCTAGTACAATGTCTTTAACAAAAACTGACAACGATCACGGTTTAACACCGAATGGTTCTGTTGCCAGCAGTGAAGGAAATACACGCACATTAAATGCTACCCTGAAAGTGGATCCTGTGGAAAAGGAAGATCTGAATAAACGAAGCATGGAGGAGGATGGCACAGTTATTACACTATAGGTTTCTTACCCTGCACCTAAGGTGTGCTAATACATGTTTTTAGAGCAGCCTGTTATGATTTTTATATGCTATACAGTAACTTTTTTGTCATAATTTTCAAATTGTTGCATGTGTGAAATGAGCAGCATGATGTTTTAACTAGTATGCATCTCAAAGAATACACAACTTGAAATGGATGGATGGTATTCCTTTCCGTTTCTATACGTACACTTTTAAATAGGAGTACTTTTAAGAGAATTGCAACTTATACAAAGTTGCAACATAAAATCTCTCCCACCCAAACAGATTAACTTGAGAAAAATATAACTATTATGACGATCTAAATATTGATCTGATATATACTCATTGTAGAAACACAAAGATCTGACTTTGTTTGTTTGTTTACAATACAATTCCTACACTGGCCATCGTAATTTTCTTTAAGATCCTTAATAGTTGTACTTAAGTACCAAAAAAATAGCTTTAATGTAACGAGTCTTGATTTCTTAAGCATGTTTCTTGCTCCTCTCCGTTTTCATTTTAAAAGATTTTGGTGGAGGGGGGATGCAATTGATAAGGTAGTATTAACCACTTTCCATTACTACCTTGCTTACCCACAGTGTCTTCATAATGAGATGGGATGAGCAATAATTGTAAATTTCGTCATACTCCAGTAGTTATGATTACTATACAATTCCTTCCAAAAATACATGTTGCAGAGATCGAGGTGAAAAGCCCAGCTCTCTGGCTTTTATTTTAATATAACTGGTCGTGATCAAATATTCTGTTCAATTAAAGGAGTAGTAAGGTATATAATTATGGCTCAAAACAGAATAGTTAAGGTACTAGCTATACCTATAGGCCCTTTAGCTCACTATAATTGACTTTTGTACCGTAGATCTATGTAAACATACAAATCATTTTGATATTTGTTACCAGAAAGTATTCCTAGCTTGCTTTTTAAAAAAATGTGAATGTCCTCAGAATTACTGATTATGTGAACATAGGAATTCTGCAAGGAAATGAAAGTTAAAGTGCTGGTACCCAAACAAGCCATTAAATTCTTGTGTTGTTGACAGACTTTATAAAACTAAATCAGGCAAGACTAAATTGTCAATGTTCCCATTAATTTCAGCAAAAGACTCATAGCCTTGATGGAACAAATTGCCTTCTGTGCTGTAAACTTTTCTGGTAAACACTTCAGAGTTAGGTAAATGAAATTCTAACAAGAATAAAGTTCTGCTTAAAACACAAACCGATGAGGCACTCAGCAAATCTATTGTTTGTATATAAACATTGTGTTGATGTTGCCAGAATTTCCTTTCGTCAATCTGGATAAGTACTGTTGAATAGCATGGTTTCAAGTAGGAAAAAAAGAAATGACTATTTGTTACTCCAGTTCTCTGAGGATTTTGGTTTCTAATCTACTTTGCTTAGTTTGTTGATTATTGCTTGAGGTAAACAAGATTTTTAAAAATGTTCTTATTGGGTTCGTATGAGTACATTCATGTTTTATGAAGCTATGTCAGGTGTGTAATTATAATTACTTTTTAAGTCACATTTTATCCTCCTGGCTTTGTAGTTTCTCCAATTTCAGTTATATTTAATATTAGCCTCAAATCTGCAGTGCCATTTTGTAGTGCCCTGTACAAACGCGGGAGGCCTCACTTCTAATATCAGACAGTTCATAACAGAACAGGAAACAGTTTAGGCCCGTTAGAGGGAAATCTAATGTCGGGGCAGGGGTTGTCTGCTGACCTATTACGTGTGGCTAAATTAATTGTAGGTGCTTGCTTGTGTTATGATCCCGTGAGAAATCATTAAAGAGAAATCCAAGCACCTAGTAATCAACTGTCCGAGTTACACCATAAGATTTCAAATGTTTTACAAAAAAACCTTTCTGTATAGAATAAAGAAATTAAGCAAAGCAAACACCACTGACTTCAGACAATAGCTTATAAAGATTTGTGCTCTAAACTTAGTTCCACTAATAACGCACTCTACTCTGTCCTTCCCAATATTTTCCTTGTATGTTAGATTGAAAGTTCATTCACTTTCCCTGGAACCAACTTCCAAATTATGTGTCATCTAGAGTTCACCATAATTCTCAGTTTTTTTTTTCCAAGTAATATTTTATGACGATCCTTCCATTAGCTATTTTGCTTAGCAGCCCCCCACCTTGTATTTAATACAGTTACAACTGTCTCTGCTCTTAGCTGTTGGATATATGCTGGCAACCAAAGCAGTCTCTCAGCTTCTAAGTTAATTTGCTGAAAACTCTCTGCCTCAAAAATTTGGTAAGGACCACGCTAAATTTCTTTCTCTAGCTGCCATCTAGAAATTACTTCCGGCCTCTTTCCAATAAAAATCCAAACTGATCTTGAACCCCAAATACCTTCCACAGTGTGAATGAAAAAGCTCATATTTTATTTGCTTCAAATGCAGGGTCGACTAATTTTTTTTTTACTTTGTCTTTTCCAACTCAATGAGCTGTATTCTACACAGGGCAGCATGGTGGTTACCACTGCTGCCTCACACTGCCAGAGACTACAGTTCGATTCCAACCTCGAGCAACTGCATTACCATTCTCCCAATGTCTGTGCATTTTCTCCAGGTGCTCTGATTTCCTCCCACAGTCTAAGGATGTGCATGTTATGTGGATTGGCCATGCTAAATTGCCCATAGTGTCCAGGAATGTGTAGATTAGGTGGATTAATCATGGTTAATGTGGGGTGGTCGGGGGCTGGGTCTGGGTGGGTTGCTCTTCAGAGGGTCAGTGTGGACTTGATGGACCGAATGGTCCTTTTTCACACTGTACGGATTCTATGTTTCTATGTTCTACCCAAAAACACACTGCTTTCTTATCAAATACCCAGATAACTTGAAAGAATTTTTTATCATCAGTCAATCTCTGACTGTGGGATGTCCTCAACTGAATGTAAGTTAATTATTTTACCTTCAATACAACTCCTTGATTCGGTAACCTAAATGAATAATTTAGATCTTGTATGAAGTTTTATGACCATTTTTGTAAGAATGTTGATTTCAAGTTTTTTTTAAAATGGAAATAACCATAGACACTCTGGATCCACTAAGAAGTCTAGAAATGGGTCATCCATTATTCTAGTGTTTACACTTGTTTCTCTGAAGGTGAGAATAATATAGGTTAGATTTTAACTATAATTAATTCCAAGCTTGTTTGAGTGGCACTTAACCTCAGGGTTGCTCATCAAACTGTCCATCAGATGCTCCCCATTTGTACAGTTAAAACTTAAATTCCTGAATCTAAAGGTTTTATATTCTAAAGCATGAAATATGAACTAGATATTCACAACATTTGCTGTGGTACACTTTTATTTATAAATATGTCTTTTTTAGAATGCTGCAACATGTTCTTGGTTTGGATGCTATTCAGTTGTTTCACCAGGCTAAAAGTCTGTTATCAAAAGAACAAATTGCTTTCAAAACTGAAATATATTTAACTTTTTAAAATGCATTTTTGTTAGTGTAAGAAGCCTTTTTTAAAAGTCTGCCATTGTGCTGTATGATCTACACTTGTATTCTATTAGAATTAGGGTGGTAACAGACTCATCAGGTTTGTAGTAAGTCTGCAAGAGAATCTGCTCCAAATTTTGCAAAGTGGTTTGGAAGCAGATTTTCTGGAGTCTTTTCTAGGAGCCCTTAAAGGCGTTAATAAATTTGGAAGGATAGCCAAGGATTCAAGCCAGCTGGCAACAATACATCTATCTTTTGCAGATCCCTCCTTCCACCAAGGCTACCGATTTTGCTTTGTTTGACCAAGTCCTAATTAACATTTAAACATATCTTTTTGAAAATATAAAAGTCTCCTTTACTGTTTTTATATTAATGACCATTCTAATTCAGATTAGACTAAACATTAAACTATGTCTCTAAATGCTCAAGGAAAATATTTTTCTCGGACAGACTTTATTGAACTTAATAGTGTTTGAAGCATGACCCAGGTGCTTACTGAATTTGCCATTTTTAAAAAAAATTGTATAAAGTTAATAAAAGCAAACATTTTGTCCAATCATTCCACATTGAATTCTGACACTGAATATTCAGATTTCTCTGTTTTAATATTAATGTTATAATGTCAATGTGGTGCAAAGTGGATACCACATCTCCCACAAAAGATGCTAAGAAGATTTAATAGTTGACTGAGTCTGCCACTCTTGCCCAACTGCTGTGGTTGAAGCACTACTGGCAGTAATCTGGAAGCAGAATGTTTGTGTCTTTTTACTTGGGGCTGATGCATGATTGGTTGGCTGGACATCTGGTTTGCGATACAGAGTGATGCCAACAGCATGGGTTCAATTCCCAGACCAGCCAATGTTACCGTGAAGAATTCCCCTTAACCTTTTGCCTGAAGTGTGATGATTCTCAGTTTAAACCATCACCAGTCATCTCCTAATGAGAGAGCATTACTCTGGTAAGAATTTACCTTTTATGGTCAGTTAATTCAAAAATAGATCATTCCATGGAAAACAAATAAAAGTATTTTGGTTCTTTGCTACTGTGATGCATACAATCTATCAAATGCCCTTCTGAACTAAAATATCGAATTCTTAATTGTTTGCAAATCTAAATAATGCATACATTTATGATCGTCAACAAATAATTAATTGCTGAAAAATCATTTATATTAAAATGCATGACACTAGCAAAAAACTCAAAGTAAATAACATTAAGTATTTAAGCTTAAGTAAATTGATGCCTGTGCCAGGTGGTGGGCTTCCTCGTATGAATGTCATGCTTTTGTTATACTTTAAAATATTATTGAAAGTTAAAATTTGAGCTGCTGAAGTGTTCATACTTTTCTCAGTGCACCAAGTACATCACAAATTACTAGATGCAACTTGACAGACTTAAGTTTAAATCTGAACTAATTTGACCTTCTGACTCTTATAGGTTTCTAAGAATTCCTCACTTTTTATATAATTACACACCTTGATGATCAAAGAGTTCCTTTGGTGTATCCAGGCTAAACCATCAATTGAGTAAGAAAAAATGTGGGCAACATTTGAAGTGAGAAAAATAGGAAATATTTTCTAACTGCAAATAGGCATTTAAAAATTTGTTAATGCAGACACATGTATGTATATTGTACACCCATGTGGTAAACATGTCTTTTAAAGTAATTAAGAGCAATTTGTCTAAATGCTGCCTCACTTTGCACACTTTGAAAATCCTTGAATTCTTTTTTCCCTTTTCACTCTTCTATGTTTATATGTTTTAATGTCTAATTTTAAAAGTCATGATTTGCCCTGCAAAGTAAGTAGGGTCAGTCATACCCTGTGTTCTAATCACAATGCTACTGATATATTTAATTTCCTTAATGTAAAATGGTATTTTTTAAAATTTGTTGAATGTTACATGTTTAGTAACTGTCTGAAATATGACTACATGGAATACAAAATTTCAGGTAAATAAGCCTGCTGAATCTGTGAAAATAGTACATCTCTTCCTTCCCAGCTAATTGAGAGCTGCATGATTGTGTTAAAAAGCAAAATCAAACTAGATTTACTCGGAGGTGAAGGGTAAATATTTCCTTTGTAGCAAGAAATATTATCAGTGTGAAAAATCACTTTTAAGTGATAACTGGGCATGAAATGTATGAAAGGCACTTGCTTTGATCTATCACAGTGACCTGGACAAATTTTAGAATTTCTGAATTGTAACTTAAACATCTATTTTTGGTTACTCTGATGTAAAATATTCTCAATGAAGCATGTTGTTCAGCTTTCCAAACTCGATGAGTGCACAATTGGAGATTGTATCATTCAGAACATAAAAATACTCAAAGTCAATGGAGAACCGGCTAACGGATTAAAATGTTTGTAGTTTGTCTGAAAATATGCATTTTGCTTGTGAATATACCCTCTGCTGGCTACTAGCTGTACTACAAGTCTTAATATGACTGCTGCTGAATTATTTGTGGACAATCTGTTCACTCTGAAACAACCACTACAAACTGGAGGAAAGTGTATAATTGCATGTTTTGAAATGGCGATTCCAAATGATCAAGATATTTTTGTCATCTTGTATAGGATTATAGTGTATAAGTAATTACTAAATGAGAAGTCAAATTGCAGTGATGTTGCATTTTAGACCCTCAGTCTTTTCTGTCTCATTTTACTACCTCTTAGATTTATGATAGTAAACACTGTAATCTGACATCATTCCAGATAGTTTGTTCTATAATCTGAATATATAGCCTCAAATTGCTTCTCTTTTCAAGCAACACATTTAATGAAAATACCCATGCTGAGTTTTAGCTCTTGTCTGTGAATAATAAGCTATGGCTTCATGATTTTTAAGTAATTTTTTAATGAAATGATTTGTATAAGATAGGCACAGATATCAGTATTTTCTTATGACTGTACAATATATGTTTATATGATCACACTAAAGAGAAATTTCACATTTTAGAGTCAGACCACAGCCTTATGCTTAATGATATATTTGTATGAACTAAAGAAAATCAGTAGAGGCTTCAACTTTTATAGTACTTTTCAAGGTTTAGTTTCCCTGCAGTACAAAAGCTGTTTGGTACCTTCTTTCCTCTTTCCTGTTTTTTTTCCTCTCTTTGATAGTGGTCAAAAACGTGCTTCATGCAAATCATTGATTTCTTTGAGCTGTTGGAGCCATTCAGCTTTCTAGTGAAACACGTCAGAACAATTTAGACGTTCAAATTGTATAAAAGTGATGGCCTTGACCTGTACAATCCTGGTATTTGCAGAGTTTGTCATCTATAGCTTTTTCATTTTTGTGATTAGCTTTTGAAGCTTTGAAGTTACTTGAATTTATCAAGCAAACTATTCATTACTTTGAATAAAACAAATGAAATATTGCACTTTAAATTCCTTTGCTATACTTTTTCATAGAATTGGTATCAAATGCAATCTGTAGAAGTGGAAACAGAAAACTTGGCATGTGTACTGTTGAATATAACAATAAAAACTGGTGAATAAACAATTTA